TTTTTTGTATTTTTAGTAGAGATGAGGTTTCACCACGTTGACCAGGCTGGTCTCAAACTCCTTGATCTCAGGTGATCCGCCTGCCTTGGCCTCCCAAAGTGCTGGGATTGCAGGAATGAGCCACTGTGCCTGGCCAGAATTTCATTTCTTTTTTAGGCTGAATAATATTTCATTATATGTATATTTTAAAAATCTATTCATCTGTTGATGAACATGGGTTGTTTCCATCTTTTGGCTATTGTGAATAATGCTGCAATGAATATTGATTTACAAATATCTGTTTGAAGCCCTGTGTTCAATATATTTTTTTTTTAATGTTGAAACTAAGGCTCAGACCAAGCGAAGTGGCCCAGGCTAGGAGATGGAATAGCCCTACCCAACTGACGCCAAAGCTCCTCCCACCAAATGCTACAACCCAAGAGGACAGTGCCTATTTACCACCCATGCCAGATGATTTACTGTATAATTTACTACTGAACGTGTGTGTGTGTTCCTGATCATTCTTTTTTCCTTTCCTAAAGGATACTAGTTCCACAAGTGCTCCCAGGAAAACCCTGCCAGAAATAAGCCGAATTACCCAGTCCTTGGCAGAAAAGTGGATAGCAGTGAAAACAAGAAGTACTGAACATGGAGTGGCTGAAAGGTGGCTCCGTCTGATAAATTATAAGCTGCTTTTATCTGGTTCTGAGGCCTCGGTCATTTTATCCAAAGCAAGAGGGTTTGGGTTTATTGTGAAGGTATTTGTATTTTGACCATGATTCTCTTCTAGAGCCTCTTAATGTCACTAGGTCATCGATGTACTCATTTACAGATACATGGAGGACATGTGATATCCCAGGTGCTGTAGGTGACGGAGTTGCAGGAGTAAAAAAGCTTACAAAGCCTTCAATAAGGTGGACTGTTTTCATATATTCATAGTTCACCCTTTGGAGTTTTATGAGTTTTAGTCCTCACAGGGATAGGTTTTATTTAAACCTATATGAATTGAACAAATCAACTATAAGGGGTTTTGGTGAGATTTAGAAATAATATGAACAAAGTATACCCAGGATTTGGGAGACTCTTAAGAGAGTAGTTATTTTCATTAATAATGATTCCACATCATCAGTTACTTATTCTGACATTATAAGATTTTTTTTTATTTTTTGTGATAGGGCCTTTGTCACCCAGGCTAAGTGCAGTGGCACAGTCATGACTCATTGCAGCCTTGAACTTCTGGGCTTAAGTGATCCTCTCACCTCAGCCTCCCAAGCAATGGCAACTACAGGCATACACCACCAGGCCTGGCTAATTTTTTTTTCTTTCTGAGACAGGGTCTCACTCTGTCAACCAGACTGGAGTGCAGTGGCACAATCTCTAACACTTCCAGTGTTACCATTTCTCATTTCTTTGCTAGCCCATTCTGTTTTGTTTTTTTTTTTTTTCTTTTTTTTTTGAGATAGAGTTTCACTCTTGTTGCCCAGGCTGGAGTGCAGTGGCGCAATCTCGGCTCATTGCAACCTCTGCTTCCTGAGTTCAAGTGATCCTCCTGCTTCAGCCTCCTGAGTAGCTGGGTTTCTAGGCACGTGCAACTACAGCCCAGCTAATTTTTGTATTTATAGTAGAGACAGGGTTTCACCATGTTGGTCAAGCTGGATAATTTTTGTATTTCTTGTAGAGACAGGGTTTTCCATGTTACCCAGGCTGCAGACATACTAAGATTTAAAAGGCATGTTTTATAGTATGTTGTGACTTACCCCTTGTTATTACTTTTACAGTGAAGTTAGAATGATATTTTCATCCCCTGCTTGTCTGACTGCGAGTTTTTTAAAGAAAAGGTAATACTTACATAAGATTTACCTTCATTTAAAACACTGGAAAATATGTAAAATGATATGTTTCAAGTAAGTTTAATTTGTGAATTTTGTTATCCTTGCCTACAGAGTCCAACACAGAGAACTTTGTAGGTTGTTATAGAATTCTTTCATTTTATAAAGTAATTTTCTGTTAGATCACTATAGGTTATAATTTCTAATTAACATTGTTTACTTCCTTCATACTGCTTTGCTCTGTTGTCCAATTACAAGGAATGGTGTTTTCTCAGGATCTCTGTATATACAGGTGATCAACGAAATCTCACATTTAGTACTTAGAAGCCAAGTGTACACTTTACAATTTTTGCTGTGTACGATCAATTAAAAACATATTTATGTTGTCTTTAACTCACTGCTACAGAAGAAAATCTGATTTTGCTCCATTTGGTTTAACATTTGGTCTGATCCAATAGTTTAAACAATTCCTTTAATGCTTGATATTTGGTTATTCTATTTCTGCTCCTTCCTCCAATTTCTCCAATATGGCACCTTGGTGTAAAAGAGACAAGAAGGAGAAATAGCAGTGTAAAGGGGTCTTAGGCTGCCCTCTGCCTCTTTGGAGGTTGATGCCTTGCTGGTCTGTCTGGTGTCATTCATATGGGTTCTCCTTTGCCTGGTGAGGTCCTGTCCCTCTCGTTAACTTGGCCTTAAATTTGCTCACTGGTTCAAAATATGATGATACACATCTTGTACCCACTCCTGGCCACTAGGTGGCACTCACTTAACCCCTGTTGCTATTACTTGCCCTTGTCCAACCCCTGTGGCAGTCCCATTAGTTCTTAACCCAGCTGCATTCTCAGGCGGCTTGTGGGACTAGAAGAACTTGGATTCCAACAACTTCACCTCAGGCTAATTCTTGCTACATGTGGAAAAATCTTTTCTATGTGAAGAGTATTATCTTCTTAATGTGAAAAAGCATCCATGCTTACTTCCCAGGAGTGAGGAACTCCTAAGATATCAAAGTCTGCAAAAGAGAATATATTTTAAGGGAGAAATTAATAATACTTTGTTTTAGTATTTGCATAAATATTTTAGCCCTAATATTACTATTGATCAGTTAATCTAGCAAAGGGAAAACCTATCTTCCTTCCTTCCTTCCTTCCTTTTTGAGATGGAGTCTTGCTCTGTGGCCAGGCTGGAGTGCAATGGTATGGTCTTGGCTCACTGCAACCTCTGCCTCCCCAGTTCCAGCAATTCCCCTGCCTCAGCCTCCCAAGTAGCTGGGACTGCAGGCAGGAGCCACCGCGCCTAGCTAATTTTTGTATTTTTAGTAGAGACAGGGTTTCACCATGTTGTCCAGGATGGTCTTGATCTCCTGACCTCATGATCTGCCCATCTTGGCCTTCCACAGTGCTGGGATTACAGTTATGAGCCACTGCACTTGACTCATTTCCTTTATTTATTTATTTGATGAAGCCTCACTCTGTTTCCCAGGCTGGAGTGCAGTGGTGCGATCCTGGCTCACTGCAACCTCCGCCTCCCAGGTTCAAGCGATTCTCCTGCCTCAGCCTCCTGAATAGCTGGGATTACAGGTTTGCACTGCTATATCCAGCTAATTTTTTGGTAGAGATGGGGTTTCACCATGTTGACCAGGCTGATCTTGAGCTCCTAACCTCAGGTGATCCATCTGCCTCAGCCTCCCAAAGTTCTGGGATTACTGGTGTGAGCCACCATACCCAGCCTCTTTTTTAATTTTATTTTTATTATTTTCATTTATATTTTTGAGACAGTCTCTCTCTGTCACCCAGGCTTGAGTTCAGTGATGTACGTGATCTTGGTTCACTGCAGCCTCCACCTCCTGGGTACATGTGATTCTCCTGCCTCAACCTCTATAGTAGCTGGGATTATAGGCATGTATCACCACACCCAGCTAATTTTTTTGTATTTTTAGTAGAGGCAGGGTTTCACCATGTTGGCCAGGCTGGTCTTGAACTGCTGACCACAAGTGATCCACCCACTTCAGCTTCCCAAAGTGCTGGGATTACAGGCGTGAGCCGCTATGCCTGGCCTTTTTTTTTTAATTTTTAGAGATGACGTCTTACACCGTTGCCCTTGCTGTAATGCAGTAGTTTGATCATAGCTCACTGTAGGCTTGAACTCCTGGGCTTGAGCTATCCTTCCATCTCAGCCTCACTTGTAGCTGGGGCTACAGGTGTGCACCACCATGCCTGGCTAATTTTTTATTTTTTATTTTTTTGTAGAGACAAGCTCTCTTCTATGTTGCCCAGGCTGGTCTCTTAAACTCCTGGCCTCAAGCAATCCTCCCACGTTGGCCTCCCAAAGTGTTGGAATTACAGGCATGACCCACTGCAGATGGCATACAATATTTGATAATGCATTATTTTAAAATTGTTAGGCTTATTGAATGCTGGCCTCTCAAATATCACTAAAACAACTTGTTGATAAGACAGGCCAGAGAGAACAGCACACCTAGACAAGGCTTTGGTAGTGTTTCTGAGAAGAAAAACCAGGTCAGAATTTATTGACAATTGGGAGTTTGGTTTAAGGAGGTCTTTCAATGTGAGAGGGAAGGCTGGAGGTTTGATCTGGACTGGGTAAATGACAACAATCCAGGATGGGTGGAAACAGCAAGGCAAGGATTTTGAGATAAGGGATTCAAAGATCTTTGGGCATAAACTGTTGATACTTTCCCTTGAAGCGTTAGTGGGTCTTTCAGGAAGTTCCCATGATGAACAATTGCCATTTGCTTGGACAAAAGTTTCCTGGAAGAGTAAAGTAAAAACAAACAAAAAAACAGTGGCATTGCAAAGTTCTGTAAATATAAATGGTAAGGAGGGTGGAGAGTAGGTAATTCTAGTTCTTAGTGTACAAACTGAGTGAGGGGCCGATGGTTTCCGTTCTCAGACTCAGCACGTAAAACTTTGTTAATACGGCAGCCCAGACTTGATGTAGGCGCTATAGAGATAATAAATTGTTATCTACTATCTTTTAACAAGGAGAACATAAACTATATATTTTTTATGTCATGTGAGTTGATTATTTTGAAAGAAGGCAAGCTATAAGAAAAAGGTTTGTATCTTATATTTAATAAAATAAAACAACAAATGACATATGAACTTTAGAAATATCCCTTTCCCTCTGTTTATGTGGTTTCTTGCATTTCTTGTATCCAAAGAGGAGCTGGAGAAACGACTTCCATTGATGTGGACTTAGAAATGGCAAGAGACACCTTCAAGAAGTTAACAAAGAAAGAATGGATTTCTTCCATGGTAATAGCCAATACTTACTTGAGATATAGAACAGATACGATTGCAGTTTAATTTTGTTGGAAGCTGGATGAGAGGGGACTATGATTGTAATTGCCCGATGGGTTCTTCCTGCCCACTGCAGAAACAAAAATCGACCCACTGAGACCATGACATTGTAGTAAGGAAAGAGTTTAATTGACATGAGGCTGGCCATGCCACGTAGGAGGTAGAATTATTACTCAAATCAGTCTCCCTGAAGGCTCACGCTTGTAGCTTAGGGGCTTTTCAAAGATAGTTTGGTTGGCAGGGGACTAGGGTAGGGAGCGTGCTGACAAGCTGAGTCAGAGGTGAAATCATAGGGAATAGAAGCTGTCCTCTTGTGCTGAGTCAGTTTCTGGGTGGGGGCCATAGGACTGGTTGGTCGGTCCAGGTGGGGTCATCCAGTTGTCAGAAATGCAAAAACCTGAAGTGACATCTCAAAAGGCCAATCTTAGGTTCTACCATAATGATGTTATTTGCAAGAATAATTGAGGAAGTTGCAAATCTTACAACCTCCAGAATAATGGCTGGTAATTATTTAGAATTCAAGCCCCTCTCATCCTAACTTGGTGGGCTTTCATTAGTTTTACAAGAACAATTCCGTTTTTGGGACCAGCTGTTATCATTTAAACTATAAACTAAATTTCTCCCAAAGTTAGCTTGGCTCATGCCCAAAAATGAGAAAAGACAGCCAACCTGTGAGGCTGGCAGCAAGATAGTCAACCATGTCAGATTTCTCTTACTGTCATACTTTTGCAAAGGTAGTTTATGATTGGGGCTGACATTTATTTTCTTAATGAACCCTTAAATGTACAATAGATACAACATTTTTATTTTCAATATAAGAAGAGCAATGCTTGAGAGGTGGATAATCTCTACTATGATGTAGGAAAAGAGCATTGGTTTGGGAAGCAGGACCTTGTCCTGGACTGATAAACTGAAAAGCCCCTTCTCTATTCTGAGATGAAACTCACCATCTATTTGAGTTGAATCTGTTACTACCTCATCCCTTCTCTTTGGGTCACATTTTCTTTACCTGTTGAATTCAGCTTTAAAATCTATTCCAGTTTAATATTCTGTGATTCTGGGTTGTATTAGGAAGAAAACTTGCTTTTTGTCTACTGCCTCAGGTTTGAGTTGGTGGAGGGGGTCGCTGCATATTGATAATTAACAGAATGCCTCAGTGCTCAGGATGCTGTAGACTGGGTAGCTTAAACAAGCGACATCTACTTCTCACAGTTCTGGAAGCTGGGAAGTCCAAGATCAAGGTACCATCAGGTTTGGTGTCTGGTTCAGGCCCACTTTTTGGCTCATAGATGACCATATTTTCAGTGTCATCACATGGCAGTGTGAACCCCAAATATCTAAGACGGGTCAGATAATTTAGAAAGTTTATTTTGCCAAGGTTGAGGACACATGCCCATGACACAGTCTCAGGAGATCCTGATGACATGTGTCCAAGGCAGTCGGAGCACAGTTTGGTTTTATAGATTTTCGGGAGACATGAGGCATAAATCCACATCTGTAAGATGAACATTGGTTTGGCCTGGAAAGGCGGGACAACTCAAAGCAGAGAAGAGGGCTTCCCGGTCTTTGGTAGATGATAAGAGAAAAATGGTTTTATTCTTTTGAGTTTCTGATTAGCCTCTCCAAAAGAGGCATCAGATATACATTTATCTCAGTGAGCAGAGGGGTAACTGAATAGAATGGGAGGCAGGTTTGCACTAAGCAGGTCTCAGCTTGTCTTTTCCCTTTAGCTTGGTGATTTTGAGGACCCAAGATTTATTTTCCTTTCACAGTAGAAAGGGCAAAGATGCTGCTGGGTTCTTTTTTGTCGGGACACTAATTCCATTCATGAGAGCTCCAATTTTTTGAGATGGAGTTTTGCTCCTTTTACCCAGACTGGAGTGCAATGGTGCGATCTCGGCTAACCACAACCGCCGCCTCCCAGGTTCAAGCAATTCTCCTGCCTCAGCTTCCCAAGTAGCTGGGATTACAGGCATGTGCCACCAAGCCTGGCTAATTTTTTGTATTTTTAGTAGAGATGGGTTTCTCTGTGTTCGTTAGACTCGAACTGCCGACCTCAGGTGATCCACCAGCCCTGGCCTCCGAAAGTGCTGGTGGGATTACAGGTGTGAGCCACTGTGCCTGGCCATGGCCTCACCTCTTAATACTATCATATTGGGGGTTAGGTTTTTAACATACGAATTTTGGGGACCATATTTAGCCTATAGCACAGAAGGAAAAAAAAATAAGTTTGCACGCTTGCATGTGGAGCATTCAGATAAAGAAGTTCCCTGAACAACTAGGGATAAGAGTTTATAAACCAACTTGATGGAGGAAAGGGATAAGGGACAAAGGGCTCCTATGGGAAGAACAAATGGGATTTTATGGAGACAAATGGAAGGCATGACAGTTTATGAGAATGTTTGTTTGTCTATGCAATTTCTCATCCACATGCAAGTGATCTGAATGATTGGTCTCCTTTTTAGCAGTAAAGCTCCACAATGGAGGATGTACAAGAACTTCTTTCTAGATGAGCCCTGCATTAGTTAGATAAAAGAAGCTCCAAAAAGCTGTCTTTCTATATTGACCGTACCTCAAATGTCTTCAGTTAGTAAAATAATCTTTATACCATTTTGCTGGGTCTGAGTAGTTCCTTATACTTGAAAGGGAAAGGGGGAAACTGTTCCTTAATGTGTTGTAGATATAATAATATTTTTATTTTCAAGATGAAGTGATAATAGCAAATATTATGAAGTGTATTTTTAAAACGAATTTATTTAGGTGATATGGGAGATAATTTGGGGTACTCTTCCTGGTATGAGTTCCAAGTGACAGTACCTTCATGAAAAACCTCATTAAAAAGCGTTCTTGATGAAACAACTTTGAGAACACTGCATACTATTATGGAATCATGATATGCACATTAGGAAATCAAAGGTTCTATGGCATCATACACTAAAAGAAATCTCTTTGACCCTATTATTCTTGGAGTTATTTGACATTGTGATGCTGTTTTTCAGTGTAACACCTACTGGCATTCCACAGAAACCATATTCTGCTAGACATGTGAAAAAACAAATTTTAAGAATTTTAATGTAATAAAAACAATATATAGTACATCACAGTTTATTGTTGCATATATCACTTATTTACCCTTATGAGAGGCAGACACTGTAATTCTAGAACATAGATCTATTAGGTTGAATAAATGCAACTAGCTGCTGTATCAAACAACTTCCAAATCTCAGTGGCTTAACACAATAAAATATTTTCCAACATCCTAGTCCAACAAGGGTTGGAGGTTAGAGACAACTTTGCACAGGTTCATGCAGGGCTGACTCAGGCTTCTTTCCAGCGTCTCTAGGCCCTGGGGCAGTAAAATCCTCCACTCAGTCTTTTGAGTTGGCTAATAGATGATGGAAGTGAGTATGGAGGGTCCCATGAGAGGTTTTAATGGCCTGGCCTTAATGTGTCACGCATCACTTTCTCTCACATTGGTGAGGTAGGACTCAGTCACATGGCCCTGCCTAACTGCAGAGGAGCTGGGGGCTGCCATCTTCCTGTGAACCCAGGAGGAAAATGAAAAATGACTGCAAGGTGAACATATGGCATTTTCTCTGCCATGGTAGATTTTACAACCATGGTACTGCCATGGTCATCTTCTAGTTGAGTAATCTCTTTCCTCTAACTTCCTTTGAGTCTCTCCTTGCTCATCTGTAAAAACAAGGTAAAAACAAACAAAACAAAAGTTATCTTATAGGATTATCGATAAGATTAAATAAAATGATTTACATGAGATTACCTGACACATTTTAAGTATTCAATGAGTGTTCAAACAAATATAAATAGTATCATACAGGTTTATTCCCACTAATATGTTTTTACATATGTCCTATTTTAAAAGTTTACTTCTAGGCTGGGTACAGTGGCTCATGCCTGTAATCCTAGCACTTTGGGAGGCCAAGGTGGGAGTATTGCTTGAGCCCAAGAGTTTGAGACTGGCCTGGGCAACATAGTGAGACACTATCTCTACAAATAATTTTCTAAAATGAACTGTGTGTGGCAGTGCACTCCACTTGGGAGTGTGAGGTTGGAGGACTGCCCAAACCCAGGAGTTTGAGGCTGCAGTGAGCTATGATTGAGCCACTGCACTCCAGCTATAATTGAGTCACTACACTCTGAGACAAAACTTTACCTCTGAATAAAATAAGTAATATAAAAATTTAGAGCTATCATTGCTCTGAAAATTTGTCTACTCATATATGAGAAAACAAAAAAAAAAGAAAAGGATATTGTGTGTGGGGAGGAGAGGAGCCGGGGATAGCTCTTCCTTCTAGAAGGAGGAATACTAGTGTGATCTGTATACATTGCTTTTGAAGGGCTTTTTATTAGTTTTGAATCCATAATTCACTCCGTATATCCATGCTCATGGGATTTCATTTTATTTTCTTCAGGCAGCCTGATATAAATGAGGAGGATGGCTCTCATGTACCACATCAGGGGCATTTGGGATGGAAGGAGTGATGAAACTCCGTCACTATTGAGTTTCATCAACAGGTTTCAGAATGACTAAGTGGTTATTCTAACTGGAATATGGTGGAGTGAAACCCCTAATTTCATAGCTTGCTTTTCACAATACTCTGTATGTAATATATCCTGAGTCTGTTCCCTGATCCTATTTTGAGCACAGATAACTACATGTCTCGAGGACAATCTGCTCAGAGGTCTTCCATGCCGTTCCCCCCACCAAGAAGCTTTATCAATTTTCCTCCTGCTCCCAGAATGTCCTGTGATGCATGATGCTAAGAACTGGAAGAACCTGGTGATTCCATTTGCAAAGGCTGTGTGTGAAATGAGTAACAAATCTTTGCAAGTCCTAAGTAAGTTTTATGTAACTTTATCTGTACTCTCAATGTAGAGTCACTCTCTGAAGTGTTGTAGCAAATTTTGGATAGAAGATTTCAAAGTACACATATATTTGAGAACATGGCATGTGAATTATTGAAAAGATTAATAATCTAAAGCTATTATAGTTATTAATCTTATCATACAAAGCACATGTAGTTTTTAGACTTAGATGCGGCTTTAACATCAGAGTTTGGTAGCCATAAAATATTCAATCAAGATAAATCCATACTTTAAACATTTTTGGCTCATGTTATCTTGAAACTTTAGGCATTTGGACCAGAGATGATGAAAAAACAAACATTGAACCTTGTGTTATTATTTACTTTATTCAATACTGTGTTATGTCCTTTTATAGTTTTTAGTGAATATTGAAAGTTCAATGATTACCCAATAACCCAGTGGGGTATAGATGTTTATATGCCCTTCTACATAGAGGAGGGGGAAGTAGGGAATGTAGACAATTCTTTTGAAGAGTAGTAAATGATTATTAGGGAGAATGAGTGAACCCAGGAAACAGAAATTAACCTGTAAATGATTCTCCTTGGAATTGGAATGAGTCAAAAGACATTATCTTTTGAAAAAGTATCTTCTCTGTGACGGATAATGAAATTTCAGAGATGGGATGAAAGGCAATTCTTTTCTCTGTGGTGGGTCCAGTCTTAAAGTAGATAAGGGAGTGTCAGAGAAAAGCCTCTTCCAGCATCTGCTGACCTTCAAGGGCCTTTAACTTAAAATAATCAGCATACCAGGGTACTATATTTTGGGGTAAATTTCCCTGGGCTCCTGCACTTAAGAGATATAGAGGGCCAGGCATTGTGGCTTACACCTTAATCCCAGCATTTTGGGAGGCCAAGGTGAGAGGATCTCTTGAGTCCAGGAGGTCGAGGCCAGCCTGGGCAACACAGTGAGACCCCTTGACTACCAAAATTTTTTAAAAAATCAGCCATACCTGGTGGCACACACCTGTGGTCCCAGCTACTTGGGAGCCTGAGGTGGGAGGATCACTTGAGCCCAGGAATTTAAGGCTGTGTTTACTTGAAAGGGGTCCCAATCCAGACCCCAAACAAGAGTTCTTGGATCTCACACAAGAAATAATTCAGGGAGAGTCTATAAAGTGAAAGTAAGTTTATTATGAAAGTAGAGGAATAAAAGAATGGCTACTGCATAGGCAGAGCAGCCCCTCAGGGCTGCTGGTTGTGCATTTTTATGGTTATTTCTTTATTATATGCTGAAAAGGGGGTAGATTATTCATGCCTCCCCTTTTTAGATCATATAGGGTAACTTCCTGACATTGCCCTGGCATTTGCAAACTGTCATGGTACTGGTGGGAGTGTAGCAGTGAGGACAACCAGAGGTCATTCTCCTCGCCATCTTGGTTTTGGTGGGTTCTAGCTGGCTTCTTTACTGCAAGCTGTTTTATCAGCAAGGTCTTTATGACCCATATCTTGTGCCAACCTCCAATCTCATTCTGTCATTTAGAATACCTAACTGTCTGGGAATGCAGCCCAATAGGTCTCGGCCTTATTTTACCCACCCCTATTCAAGATGCAGTTGCTTTGGTTCAAATGCCTCTGACAGCTGCAGTAAGCTATCAGCACACCACTGCACTCCAGCCTGGGTGACTGAGCATGATCCTATCTCAAAAAAAGAAAACAAAAAGGTACAGAGGATATGTACAATGAAATGTAAGCCACCCAGTTCCCCTCCCAGAGGTAGCTACAAGTTCTAGTTTCTTGTGTAACCTTTGAAAGATGTTCTATATATATATATATAAACATACAAATGTATTCTTTCTGTTTTTAATGGTAGCAAATTATTAAAGTTACTCTTCCACAACTTGCTTTCTCTCACTAACCAGGATATCATGGAGATCATTCTGTTAGAGAATGTATAGAATTGCCTCATTCTATTTAATGGCTGAAGAATATTCTAATGTAAAGCATTTCATTGTACATATATAAATTTACACAAGCAGGAAAAATTCCAGAAAGCAAAATCACTAAGTCAAATTGTATGTACATTTTAATTTTGAAATATTTTGCCAAATGACCCTCTACAGAATCAGGGTCATCATGTCACCCAACTTGGTTGTCATTCACACTGTAGTCTACATAAATTGCACTCCTAGAGTTTGGCAACCTGTCAGTACTGACAAAGGATGTATTAATTTACATTTCATCAATGATTATGAGAGTATCAATATGCATTACTTTCCAACCATGTTATCAAACTTTAATCTTTGCCATTCTGAGAAAAAAACTTTTAATTTTAAGTTGAATTTTTCTTATTAAGAGTGAGGTTGTGCTGGTTTTCATATATCACAGATCTCTTTGTATATCATATTCTGTGAACTCTTATTACAGGACCACCAGGTTTGATTTTCTGTTGCACAGTAACAGACCAATACACTAAAAGAGTAGGAGCTGCAGCAGAGGAAGAGTTTAATAATTGTAGGGCAACCAAATGAGGAGATGAAAGGAAACCTCAAATATGCCTCTTCAAGAGGTTTGTGGTTGGGGTTTTTAAGGAGTCTGGATACAGGTGATGGCCTAAAGTGTAGTGATCACTGATTGGTTGAGAAGTGAGGGGTAAAGTCAGGGATAGGGAGATGAAGAACCCACATTCCTGTGCTGAGTCAGTTCTTAGGTGAGGGTCTTCAGAACAGTTGGTGTCAGCCATTCTGCTGGAATTCATGATCTGAAAAATGCCTTAAATAATTCTTGGGTTAAAAGGTCCAGTGTCAGAGATTTATCTGATAGGAACAATGGGAGAGCAGGTGCTTAGTGTGCTGTGTGACTCTGGGTTAGTTTTCAGCTCAGAAAAGTGGGTTGAACTGCACCAGCACACCCTAGTCAATGACAAACCATAATTCTGCATAAAACCTGGCTTATAACTCCCATTAAGAAAGTGAGAGTGGTTCCACTATTGTTTTTCCTTCTTTGCTCTTTTCCCATTGGTTGTTAGTATTTTTTTTAATTTTAGAAGCTTTTTAATTATTAAGGCAATTAATCCTTTATCAATATAAATTACAATATTTAGGCTATTAAAAAATGGTTTTTTTACTTTGTGGTATTTTTGCCATGCATAATTATTTTTTTAAATTTTAATGTAGCCTACTATATTAATATTTTCTTTTATGGTTTCTGGATTTGGGGTCATACTTAAGTATAACTAAAATAATTCCCATCCTCTTGCTATAATTTTTGTTATTTCATTTTTATATTTAAATATTTGATCCATATGAAGTTTATCTTGGTTAAACATTATTTTTTTCTAGATCAGTTTCTAATTTTCCCCACACATTTATTGAATCTTTTTAATTCCCACTAATATGCAGTGCCATATTTATTATATATTGAAGTCCCATGTGCATTTGAGTCTACTTATGGAATCTCTTTTTATATATCTGGGTGATACTGTTTTAATTATATTAGCTTGATAGTGTATTTTAACATCAAATGGATTTGTTTTCTGAGAATTGTTCTGAGAATTTAAAGGTTCCACATTCCAAATCCATGTTGCAATTCAGTAATATTAAAATATAATAATTGGCTATTTTTAAAACTACATGGCCATGTACTAGGTGTTCATAAAATCTAAAAACATAGATAATATCTTTTTATTTTTTAAAGATTAAAAATGTCTGGCCAGGTGTGGTGGCTCATGCCTGTAATCCCAGCACTTTGGGAGGCCAAGGTAGGTGATCACAAGGTCAGGAGTTGGAGACCAGCCTGGCCAATATGATGAAACCTGGCTCACTAAAAATGCAAAAATTAGCCAGGTGTGGTGGTGCGCACATGTAGTCCCAGCTACCCAAGAGGCTGATGCAGAACTGCTTGACCCTGGGAGGTAGAGGTTACAGTGAACCAAGATGGCGCCACTGGGCAACAGAGCAAGACTCCGTTTCAAAAAAAGAAAAGATTAAAATTGTCCTTGATGACATTACATATGTGTGTCTGTATTTTTGTATTCACCTATATGTTTTCAGATTTTATAGATATCCTATACAATTGTCAGTTTGAAAATTGTGAGATCAATTAAGCATAAATGTGAGTCATCAAATAATTTCTTCAAATCCTGAATTTGAGATTTTTTAAATTCTAATAATACTTAAACAGAGAAAAAAAATTCCACATCTGTGAGCATTAAGTGTTGTCCAGGATGTACTTTAAAAAGATATTTATAAATTATACCATCAGAAATGTAAAATATTATCTATTTTGTACATTAAAGAGCCCAGTAGAAACTGAGGGATTTGGGGGATGGTAGGAAAATCATATTTCTCATGGCTAATTTTACACCCCCAGAGAAGTGTTGGGCATTTTTGCAAGAATCTTCTCTGAGCCCACTGGTCCAGATGCTTAAAGCAGCCGTCATCTCTCAGCTGTGTCATTGGAATGAAACCAAACAGGATCACTGTAATATTAAAGCTCTTTTAGGAATGATGAAAAAACTGCATAAGGTAAGGGTTCTTCTAAAGGAATGTATGTACTATTTTATTCAATTAAAATCCCTTAAATTTCAACCATTGGATTTCTAGGAAGTCAAATAAAAATCATGAGTCATCAAATATTTTTTAAAGGAATATAGAAAAGGGAAATGTTTGGCATAAAATAATTAGGGATTAGAAGTTGAGAAACTTTTGAGGACTTAAGATGTTTTTTAATGGACTTCTTTCATTAAGAAAAAGTACACTGTGCCTGTAATTCTAGCTACTCTAGAAGCTGAGGTGGGAGGATGGCTTGAGCCCCGGAGTTTGAGGTAGCAGTGAGCTAGGATTGTGCCACTGTACCCTAGTCTGGGTGACAGAGCAAAACCACATCTTAAAAAAAAAAAAAAGGAAAAGAAAAGTACATTGAAGTTACTGCTACATGTAACAGCATACAGCAACATGGATGAATCTCATCAACATAGTGATGAACAAAAAGTGCACCAAAAATTACATTCTATGGCTTCTTTTGCATGAATTTTAAAAACAGAGCTAATCTATAATGACAGAAAGCAGAATGGTGTTACCTCTTGGGAAAGGCAGTTGTCTTGGAAGGAGCATAGGGGAACAACCTGAGGCATAGGTAACCACCTGGACAGTACTTATCCAAATAAGTATGTATGTAAAACCTCACCAAGATGCACATTTAAGATTTATGAGCGTGTGAGGTGTGGTGGCTCACTCCTGTAATCCCAGCACTTTGGGAAGCTGAGGCGGGTGGATCACCTGAGGTCGGGAGTTCAAGACCAGCCTGACCAACATGGAGAAACCCTGTCTCTGCTAAAAATACAAAATTAGCTGAGCATGGTGGCATATGCTTATAATCCCAGCTACTCAGGAAGCTGAGGCAGGAGAATCACTTGAACCCAGGAGGCGGAGGTTGCAGTGAGCCAAGATCCTGTCATTGCACTCCAGCCTGGGCAACAAGAGTGAAACTCTGTCTTGAAAGGAAGAAAAGTTCACAGAGGACTATGGCCCAAACAAAGAAAGGGCCCAATGGATACTGCTGTATCAACTCAGTCTGTCAATATCAGAATATTTGCTAAATCCCACTGTAGAAATATCAAATGAGGCCGTTAGGATTTGGTATCCACATTCTCTATGGCTGTGTCAACATTAGGGTCACCAAAAATGCAAAGTTTGTTTTAGTAGAGATACCTGAAGTCAGTGGTATCCAGAAGTCATTGAGCTTGGTTACATCATCCTCATTCTGCCTTGGGTGGTAATCCCAATAAATAGAAATCTGACTGGGCTCTTGACTAGATCTAAAGATGGACATAAGCATGTTATAGGTGAGTGTCTGAATTCCCACAGTGATCAGTGATTCACAGAAGAGCTCTTAAATTCCAGAGGTGTAGACCAGTGTAATGAGAACACTAATGCCAAAGGCATCTAGGGCAGCACTTCTCAAACTTTGATATGCATGTAAGTTATCTGAGATCTTGTTAAACAATGCAGATTCTGATCCAGTAGGCCTGAGTGGTGCCTAAGATTCTGAGAAACTCTTAAGTGATGTCATTAATGATACTCCAAGGATTTATGCTTTGATGTTCTTGTACCTAGGAAGAAAAGCTATTAAACTAATTAATAATGAATTACTAAGACGATTACATTGTAATTTACTGTCTTAAGCTGCAATTAGTAAACATAATATTTGGTCCCAGTTATGGAATGGTCTCTAGCATTGTGGACAAGTGGACGACTATATTTGTTTTACTAATGTTGTCATAGAGAATGCATAATATTAGGTCATGCTAACTTCAGACATACATCCTGGGACCCAAACATTGTCATCAATCCTCTCTCTCTGTCTCTCTCTCTCTCTCTCTCTCTCTTTGCTTTTTTCTTTTTGGGTTTCATTCTCTCTTACTATATATAGGGTGTCAGAGCAGGGAATTTTTCTTATATCCAAGTTTTGTTTTCCTTCTAGGATAATTTTACTTCTTAATAAAATACACCTCTTTCCCTGGTTCTTTGTAGTACTCCTTATGTTGAAAATCAGGTATTCATTTGGCTGTTAATCTATGTTTGTACCAATACAACACCGTACAAGTTACTGTATCTTTATAATAAATATTGACATGTAATAGAATAAGTTTCAACTTTTATCTTCTTCAGTATTATTGTTAAACTTCAATAAAAACTTTAGAATTACCTTTTTGTTCCAATTCCACAAATTTCCATTTGTTGGGCTTTTGATTGTGTTTTTGACCTGGTAGTGAAATGAATCTATAAAACAATTGGAGAGAGAATGACTATTTTACATTATTGAGTCTTCTAAGTCTGATCATGACATAGCTCTCTATTTCATTCTTCAATTTCTTACAATAATATGTAAGAAGTACATATTACAATAATATGTAAGACTTCTATGTAGAAGTCTTGCAGTCTGTTATTAGATAAATCCTGAATACTTGATATTTTTATGTGATTATATATCTTTTTAAAACAGCTTTATTTCACAACTGTAATCCCAGCACTTTGGGAGGCTGAGGTGAGTGGATCACAAGGTCAAGAGATTGAGACCATCCTGGCCAACATGGTGAAACCTTGTCTCTACTAAAAATGCAAAAATTAGATGGACGTGGTGGCACGTGCCTACGGTCTCAGCTCCCTGGGAGGCTGAGGCAGGAGAATCGCTTAAACCAGGGAAGCAGAGGTTGCAGTAAAATGAGATTGTGCTACTGCACTCCAGCCTGCGACAGAGCGAGACTGTCTCAAAAAACAAAACCAAACAAAATAAACAGCTTTATTGAGATATAATTCACCCATTTAAAATATACAATGTCACACTGGTAATCCCAGCACTTCGAGAACCTGGGGTGGAAAGATTGTTTGAGCTCAGGAGTTCGAGACCAGCTTGGGCAACATAGTGAGGCCTTGTCTCTATTTCTTAAAAAAATAAAAATTAATAAAATGTGCAATGTAATACTTTGTAGTATATTCATGGAATTGTATAACCTTTACCACAATCAATTTTAGAACATTTTTATCACCCGAAAAGAAGCCCTATACCCTTTAGCAGTTATTCCCCATTCTCCCCCCAACTCCCATCCTCTGACTCTCACCCCAGCCCTAGGCTATCACAAATCTACCTTCTGTCTCTCCAGATTTGCCTATTCTGGACATTTTACGTAAATGGAATCACCCATTATGTAGTCTTTTGTGGCTTGCTTCTTTCACTTAGCATAATATTTTCAAGGTTCATCAATGTTGGAGTATGTAGGAGTACTTCATTCTTTTTTTATTGATGAATAATAAATCATGCATTATATGAAATACCACAATTTTATTTATCCCTTCCTCATTTGATGGGTATTAGGGTTATTTCCACTCTTTGACTATTAGGAAGAATGCTGCCATTTACATGTCTGTACAAATTTTTGCATAGACATATGTTTCCATTTCCCTTGGGTATATACGAAGGATTGCTGAGCCATATGGCAACGCTAGTTTAATCTTGTGAGGAACTGCCAGACTGTTTTCCAAAGCAGCTGTACCATTTTGTGTTCCCTCCAGCACTGTATGACAGTTCTAGTTTTTCCACAGTCTTCTTTGTTTTTTGTGGGGGGGGATGGAGTCTCACTGTTGCCCAGGCTGGAGTGCAGCGGCACGATCTTGGCTCACTGTCACCTCTACCTCCTGGGTTCAAGTGATTCTCCTGCCTCAGCCTCCTGAGTAGCTGGGATTACAGGTGTGCACCCCACACCTGGCTAATTTTTGTATTTTTGTAGAGACAGGGTTTTACTATGTTGGCCAGGCTAGTCTCAAACTCTTGACCTCAAGTGATTCACCCACCTCTGCCTCTCAAAGTGATAAGATTATAGGCATAAGCCACCGCACCCAGCCATTTCTCCACATTCAAGCCAACACTTGTTATTATCTGCCATTTGGATTATAGTCACCCTAGTGAGTGGGAAATGGTATCTCCTTGTGATTTTGATTTGTATTTCCTTGATGGCTAATGATGTTGACCTTTTCATATGCTTATTGCCCATTTCTGTATCTTATTTTGAGAAATGTTTATTCATATCTTTCATCAATTTTTAAATTAGTTTATTGGTCTTTGCATTATTGAGTTGTAAGAGTTCTTTGTATATATTATAAGTCCCTTATCAGTATACAATTTGCAAATGTTTTCCCATTTTTTTTAATTGTACTTTAGGTTCTGGGGTACATGTACAGATCATGCAGGATTGCTGCCTAGGTACATACATGGCAAGGTGGTTTGCTGCCTCCATCCCCCCATCACCTATATCTGGCATTTCTCCCCATGTTGTCCCTCCCAAACCTCCCCATCCCCCACTGTCCCTCCCCTATTGCCCCTGCAAAAGACCCCAGTGTGTGATGCTCCCATTCCTGTGTCCATGTGTTCTCACTGTCCAATACCTGCCTATGAGTGAGAACATGTGGTGTTTGATTTTCTGTTCTTGTGTCAGTTTGCTGAGAATGATGATTTCCAGATTCATTCATGTCCCTACAAAGGACATGAACTCATCGTTTTTTATGGCTGCATAGTATTCCATGGTGTATATGTGCCACATTTTCTTTGTCCAGTCTATCATTGATGGGCATTTGAGTTGGTTTCAGGTCTTTGCTATTGTAAATAGTACTGCAGTGAACATATGTGTGCATGTGTCTTTATAATTGAACAATTTATAATCCTTTGGGTATATACCCAGTAATGGGATTGCTGGATCAAATGGAATTTCTATTTCTAGATCTTTGAGGAATTGCCACACTGTCTTCCACAATGGTTGAATTAACTTACACTCCCACCAACAGTGTAAAAATGTTCCTATTCCTCCACACCCTCTCCAGCATCTGTTGTCTCCAGATTTTTAAATGATCGCCATTCTACCTGGCATGAGATGGTATCTCAATGTGGTTTTGATTTGCATTTCTCTAATGACCAGTGATGATGAGCATTTTTTTCATATGTTTGTTGGCCTCATGTATATCTTCTTTTGAAA